ATGACCAGTCTCGGTATGACCACGGATGGCAGATTGACACCAGACCAGTCGCGGGTGGGTACTGACAACCGGAGGGCAGAGACACAGGCCCAGTCGACCAGGGTTTAGAGGGCGTGGGTTTGGCACCGGAGGGCAGAGCACATCACAATTCGCGGTATTGGACACCGAGGGCAGGCAGAAGAGGATGCACGTGACCAGTCGTGGTTGACCACGGGGCATGCAGATGCACTTGACAGTCGCGGTATTGACACCGGGGCAGGCAGATGACACGTGACCAGTCGTGGTATTGACACCGGGGCAGGCAGCGACACGTCTGACCAGTCGCTTAGTGGTGGGGTTGGTACTGACACCGGGGGGAGAAGATGACACGGGGACCGTCGTTGTACTGACGCCGGGGCAGGCAGATGACACGGACCAGTCGCGGTACTGACACCGGGGAGGCAGATGACACGTGACCAGTCGCGGTACTGACGCCGGGGCAGGCAGATGACACGTTACCAGTCGAGGCAAGGACACCGGGGGCAGGCAGATAGATGGTTGCTTATTTGTCAGACGATCGCTGCGATCGAGGCGGCGGGACGGGCGTACCTTTCTCTCGACAACGGAGAAAGTGTTCGGGAATCGAGTGGAAGCTCCTTCAGCCGCCTCTGCAGCTCGCACTCGTTGGCCGGTGCTCTGTAATCCGGCCAACGAGCGGCAAACCGTGAAACCCACATAGGCTTGGGCAGGATCGCTTCCGGTGAATAATCCTAGCTTGTTCCCAACGGGAGTGGCCCGCTGGTGGGATTCTTTGTAACTGGCGGACAGAATATCGCTCACGCTCTGCGGACATTGAGGACTTCGGGCGCTTTCAACGACCACTGTGGCAGCCTTTGTGTTGGTGTATGTGTTTGCCCGAGTGGTGGCAGCTGCGGGTGGTGCCGATCTCCCCGTTGCACGCCGTTGGGTCGGTGCCGCAGGTCGACCCTGGTGACGCAGCAGCGCTTGGAGGCGGCCAGCAAAAAGTACGACCTGTCCAAGTGGAAATACTCGGAGCTGCGAGACACCATCAACACCAGCTGCGACATCGAGCTGCTCGAGGTGCGTGCGAGACGGGCGCTCGCCCCGCGCCGCGGGCCGGGCCTAGGAGTGGGATGAGGCCTGCCTGCCTCGCTGCAGGGGGTGATCGGACACGTGGTCCTCTTGTCGCGACCCCGGCCCGGGACCTGGCTCCGACGGCGGCCGCCGGCCACGGCAAGCACCGTGTTTGATCGAGCCAGCGCTGCTTTGTAGCGTTCCAAGCCATGGAATAGCCCGCGTGCGTGCAGGCTGCCTTTGGGATCAGACCCTGCTAGGCGGGGCGTGTTAAGCGAATCGTTAACCCCGCGCCCACGTGGTTGTGAGCATGACTGCATTTCCGCGTCGAGTGCCTCTATTCAGGAACCAAACGCAGGCTCTTGTACGGTGTTTGCTGTCCTTAAAAGGATACGTCACGCAACAGCACGGAGTTAATGCTGCAAAACAGCTCTGAAATGATCCACATGTCCCTCTTACCACTATCCAAGTGTCATTGTACGATAGCCATCACCCTGACGTTTATGTTGCGGCGTACAAACATGGATAGGAGTCACATGTTCAAAAATGTTTGCCATTCAAGTGACAGCATTCACATTTAGCACTGTCGCGAGAAACAGATGTTGCTGAATGTTAAGGCCAAACTGGTACGAAAAAAGTGGAAAATCATAGGTTAGCGTTTATCCGTCGTGATGGCCTTGGTGATTCGTTATCGTGCTGTCAGTGTTGGAAACCATGGCTCACCGTCGTTGTCGTAATTGCTATGTTTACAAGGTAGGACCACCGGGCCAAAAACCCGCAGATCCTTGCTGGTCAGATGTTGGCGGTTTGGTGTGTTGAAAAGCTGTGTATCTAGTATGCACCAATTTGGGCTCGTGCCATTTTAGGTCGCCTTTACCCAAACCAGTCCACACTGGCCACTGCGGCGACCGCCCTCAGAAGAAGTCCGATTCGCGGCGCTCGGAGGCGGCAACACGTCCCCCTGCCGCTCTTCACCGCCCCCTCTCCCCCTCCGGCAGGCGTGCCGGGCCGAGTTCCACCGTCGCCTGAAGGTGTACCACGCCTGGAAGGCCAACAACCAGAAGCGCTCCGCTCCGATGGACGAGAGCCAGCGCGCACCGAGCTCGGTGCTGGAGGCGGCGGCCGCCGGCCGGCCGCCCGCTGCTGCCGCCGCAGCCTCGGCCGGCGCCGGGCCGCCGCCACCGCAGCACCGTTTCTTCCGCATCCCGTTCGTGCGGCCCGGCCAGCAGCAGACGAACCAGGCGCGCGGCTGGTGGTACGCCCACTTCGACGGCCCCTGGATCCACCGTCAGATGGAGCTTCACCCGGACAAGCCGGCCGTCCTACTCACGGCAGGTCAGTGCTACAGGCCACGCGGCAGCGCCGCCGCCCCGCGGCCCGGCGCCCGCGCTGTGAAGAGGTTCTCAAGGTTGTGTGTGTGGGAGGACGCGTGTTCGTACGCATGCTCACATTCACGCGTGCGCACATACACGCCGGCGCATGCATCCCGTGTGCATATGCGTGCGCACTGGCACGTCTCTGTGTAGCAGGTGGCGCCGTGGATAGAGATTTGAGTCAGCGACGGTCTCATTGCCTGCGAACCGACAGCGGCTAAAGAAACCCGTATGGCTAGGTTATATGTCGGCTCCCTTCGCTGAGCTCTGGAGGCTGCGTCCGATTCCCCCGCGTCGGTGGGGGCGGGGGGGCGGAGGTGTTCCAGGCTCACGGGCTGAATCTAGCGGAGTGGATATGCCGGAACTAAAGCCTGTTTGTGAGCCTCGATCAGTAATAGTCTCTTAATTAGTGATAGTGTTATTGCCCCGATTAGCAATAGTCGTCTTGGACCTCAACATGCGACGGATGCTTTTACCTTGGATTTCTAGCATTTGTAGTGCATGGTGTGCACAATGCATGAAAGGTACTGCAACGAAGCTCGGCATTGATTTCAAACGTCAGAATGTAACTGTAATGCGTACTTTGTCATTGCCAAAATGGGCAGTCAGTACCTTTTGCCGGTTGCACCGCAAAACGAAGGGAAGATCCCAGGTCGGTGGTAGACGGTATCATGAGTTGATGTGCTGAGATAGCCGACATCATGTAAAAAGATAATGTTTCAACCAGTTTGTATTGAACGGGAACTCTCGGGCTAATCGCTATCCCTTATTTAGTTTTGGTCATCCCAATGGCTACCCCACAATGATAGGAAAACAGATGCAGGCGCGTACTAAGAAGAAGCTTTGAGAAGAAGCTAAAACCCTAAAAGAAGCCTAGAAATGTCACATGCAGTTTAACACACCCATTCCTTTGAGGCAACGAAAGTAGAATAGATGGCCGGTTCTACCTTTCAGCTGCAAACAAATGTTACAAACTGTTGACAAGAAACACATGCAATACATGCGCAATTTGATACAATTGCAATGTATTTCTTCTGAATTTTACTACATCACATGGCAACCAACTGTCGCCGCACAAACCTCTTGGACATGTGCGCAGTTATTACACATCTCGGCATCGGCACAATAGCGACGCGTTCGGCATATCGCGATACTGAAACAAGATAACGCACACGTGTACAAATTGGCCCTGAACGGAAAGCTTCGTTCATTACAAACGGGATGGTTGAAATAATATCTGTTTGCATTTGCTGTGTTCTAGCTCAATACTCTTTCCGAACATAACCCATATTATGTATACCAAGAGGCATCGATTAATCGAGGATGCCAAACTATTATTTGGGCGTTTTATCAAAATGGTGCACGTTTTCAGCAGTGGCCAGACAGCGTGATTGGTCTCGAGTGAACATGAAAGCCAAGAAATGTCTGAATATGTGTAGGTTTTACCCTTGCGGGACACGCTTGGACTTTCAGAGGTGATGACACTAAATACGCTTCTAGCAGGGGCCGTTAGTCCACGGTACACTAATGGCGCGCAAACCACTGAAACGTACGGTGGTAGTCTCCTGTTTGCACGGCTGCTCATGTATTAACATGGGCTTACGTGGACAAGATTGATGTGTCCGATTTCTTTACAGAACAGATTTTGAGTTACATCAAGAGCGAGTAGCTTAGCGACAGAATGTGATTGTCGTGCTGTGTTTCCCTTCCCGGAAAGGAGGAGGGAGACCTTTGAGCTCGACTTCGACCACACGGGCGGGGATCGGGAGGGCGCGCGCCCGGGATCATGATATGAGGACTGCTTGCTCTCGAAAGTCGCGCTCAAATGTGTGGGTTGAGATCTGTTCATCATCAGGCAAAGGGCGATGCCCGGAAACTGTCACATATTGTACATCGATTTGCCCTTGCCGCTGTGATTCGATTAGTCTCATATTGGTTTTGGACGGCCCGTGGGTGGTTGTGGCAGGAATCTGACCGGGGTTTTGGGGACGTCCCTCCGCCACTGGACGTGCTCGGGTTGGATCTGCCCGGCCACGCGGGCCGCCCTTGGCCCGCAGCTGGTGAGAAGGCGCCAGTGGAAGCCATAGTTAGCCGTGCATAATCTTCGTAGACGAAGTCTGAGTCAGCAGGTGGGATGAAGTGAAGCTTTCACTCGCCTGAGTCCAAACGTGTCGCACAGCAACCTTCTTCGTTTTTTTTTTCTCGCTATGTTGAAAGCTGGCCTCCGCGCGAGGCGTTCGTCCGACTCGCGCGGGGAGTCGGTGGCGGTCTGGCCCTGGGGAGGGGCGTGGCCGTTTGGGGCGCCCTTTAAAAGGGGGGTGCTCCTTTACTTGTGGGTCAGACTTTGTTGTGCAGTCGATGCCATGAGTTTCAGGGAGCAACTCCGCCGTATGTGCGGCTGAGCGTCTGTCTGCGTGCCTGTGTGCGAGTGTATTTCTCCAATGTCTGTGTGTGCCTTTGTCAAGGCTCATGTTGTACTGAAGATATATCTGGCCCATCGTGAATGAGTTAAATGAGAAAGTGGGGACGGTACTGTGCCGCGCATCCGAAAAGGTCGTCTTCTGTGGCTTTGGCTCGTGTCGTCTCCCAAGCGTGTGTCTGCGTATGCTCGCCTTCCAAGTATGCGCACTGTCCGGCGCGCCGTCTGGCCGCCGCCTTGTCCCCGTCTGACCGCCGCCCCGCCCCCGTCCGCCACAGGCAAGGACAGCATGCAGATGTGTGAGCTGAGCCTGAACGAGACGGGCTTGACCCGCAAGAGGGGCGCCGAGATCCTGCAGGTGGAGTTCGACAGGGAGTGGCAGAAGCACCAGTCCAAATGAGGCGCCAGCGCGGGTCTGCGACGGCGCCGTCAGCCGGCAGCGGCAGCTGTTTCTCCCAGGGGGCTGGGCGTGCGTGGTAACCTGCGACGTTCACTCCGTTGGGCCGTATTCGACGCTAGTATGTTCCTCTTGTTTCGCCTCTGAATGTGTGAGCCGTGCGTTAGTAGTGACGGGAGACGTGCGGGGGGGGCGGGGCAGGGCCGGCCCCGGTGCGACGAACGCTGCGTCGGGTGGACCGACGGCGGCCGCGGCCGGCACTGGAGGCGGCGCGCCGTCTGCGGGTCGGTCGGCCGCCCCAGAGCCAACGAGCCGGGGTGGCGCTCGCGAGCGTAGCGTCCGGACGCGCGGCCCCGGCTTCGGCTGCACCCTCCCCCCCCCCCCCCCCCCGTGTGTCCGTCGTCCAGGCTCGGTCGGGTCGCTGCTGGCGTGTGAAGTCGGATCACCGTTGCCGGGGCGTTCAGTTGCGGCCCGGCCGCCGTCACTCGTGCCGCGGTGGCACGACCCCGGTCCGGGCGCGCCACCTCTCCCCGTACATACGTGGCCCGGTCTGGCCGTGCCGCCCGCTCTGGCGTCCGGCCCCGGCCGTCGCTATCGGCGCGTTTACGGCCGTCCGGAAAAGCCGACCAAGTGTCGCCATAATTAGCAGGCTGGCCACGGCCTGTTTGCCGACGTTTTGCCGGCCAATCGGCCGTGTTTGCGGCGCGTTCGTAATCTGACGCGCGCTGGGCTGCCCCCACCGCCCACCGCGCCCGCGTCCGTCCCCGCCCCGCCGGTGACGTCATCGAAGATGATGTCACTGACGTCACGCGCGTGCCACCGTTACTGCCGCCGTTGCGCGCCGCTGCCGCCGCCGCCTAATATTTTCTACTGCTAAAGGGTGGCGATTGGTCACGTTCCAATGCCTCGCCGTGTCGCCGCACGTTACATTCAGATCGTCATTGGCCTGGCTGTCTTCCACTGTTTACATTCCGAACTAGTTTGCTTATGGATCTGGGATATGACGGGCATCGTCTTGCCTGGGACGCTTTGATATCATTCCAGCTCGGCGAGGACGTTTTTGATCGCTTTGTTCTGCTTTATTACGATCAGGTGCGACGCGTACATTTTGACTTTGTTAATTGTTTTCGGAATGTGATTTAGCTGTTGCGTATTTGGAACTATCTTTATTTTTGTGCTTATCATGATGATAACGTAAGCATCGTAGTGGTAAAGCGGTTATGTTGGAAGCAATGAGGACTGTCACGCACCTATTCCTACTTGATGCTGACCTTATCTGCGGCCTTTTTGTTATAATTCGGAGATTATTAGCAACGATGTAACGTGAAAGGTTTTTTCGAAATAAAAGTCATGGAATGGTGAATGTGACTTCTTTTTTGAAGGGGGCGTTGAGCTTACCCATAAACAGGGGAAATCAACCGGAACATCAACCGGTGCTCACACAAAACGTCGCTGCATTTCAGCTGCTTATACTACTGATGAAGAACGGGGTCGATTGTTTATGTATATGTGTTTATATATATATATATATATATATATATATATATATATATATATGTGTGTGTGTGTGTGTGTGTGTGTGTGTGTGTGTGTGGTGTGTGTGTGTGTGCGTGTGCGTGTGTGCGTGTGTGCGTGCGTGTATATATATATATATATATATATATATATATATATATATATATATATATATATATATATATATATGTGTGTGTGTGTGTGTGTGTGTGTGTGTGTGTGTGTGTGGTGTGTGTGTGTGCGTGCGTGCGTGTGTGTGTGTGTGTGTGTGTGTGTGTGTGTGCGTGTGTGTGTGTGTGTGTCATCAAGTAGTTTGCTTTCACTCTGCAGCGTTTCATTTGGTCTGCCAGTGGCGAAAGTGAGCAACCCGCCGCCATTCAGCTCAAAATTTAGCTAAATCTAGGAAAAACGGCGTAGGTAGGTATAGCTTGTGCGTAAGAAGCTTAGTGATACTGAATTCGAAGCCATTACGTCGTCTAATGGCCCTACATGTGGGGTAATCGTACCTGTGTAGGAATACGTTACTGGGGCGTAGTGTAATACTTTACCCACAGACGAAAACACAACATGTTCTTAATCGGGTTTGCTGCGACAAATCGTAGCATTCACCTGATGTAAAAAAACATCCTGCCAAGTCACTGTATTTGATTAATACATACATAAACACATCGATACATACACAGGAACATTTGGCTGTCGAAAACGAGCTGTGTGTTCTGAGCTGTTCTGGTGCTAGGATGTCATGCTTAACAACAGTAGCGTATAGCCCCAAAGGACACCTTTAGGGAACATCCTTTTAGGGTCTTTTGCCCCTCCCCCACGGAGTTGGCAAGCACACACGGGTGTCAATTTGCATTTTTTTCCGAGGGTCCTGGCCATCCAATGTTGAATTGCCGTCCCCCTCAATGTCGGCTTACCTCCCCCACACTCCAATGTTTTTGGCTGAAATGCTGCAAAAAGCGTAGGTAAAAGATGGCCATCACACTAAGATCATCTCCTTTGACCTTTCAGCTTAATGGCGTCGCCATGTAGTATGCAGCTTGGCAACTTGATCTTCGCAACCTCAAAATTATTCCCTCAAATTACGGGTAGCTTTAGATAATGGGGTCAAACAGATCCTTTTACATACGGCGGTTTTTTGCCCGTCAATGATAACCCCGGACGCTCAATTCTGTAACCTAAACATAATACTGACATCACTGCTTCACTGGCCTGGTGGATGCTTGTATGCCAACCAAGATTTGGTTTGCTTCCCATGGAAGGCTGCGAACCTGCCACTGTTTGACTTAAAACCAGACTTTCCTCACTGTATAGTCTCTTGGGAAAATAAAATTAGATAGCATAATGCTGCTTTTTGGTACGGTATGATTCTTTTAAAATCTTGGTTCAGTCATGAAATGGGATATACAACACACGTAACAAAGCAACCTGTCTGAGACAGATTTGGAATCGGATTCCCTGCTTAGAATGATTTATTGCTTGTGCTCCGAACCATCATCTCATTAATAAAAAATATTTAACGAACCCATTCTGCCTCGGGCCTTTCTCGAAATAGCACGACAGGACCCATGCCGCGTCATGCAATTACACGACCCTCGGCGCTCAGTAATCAGGCTGGCACTGTCCATCCAGCGGCAAATGGCCCTCTTCGGCGAGCCGTATACAAACGCTTCTTCTGGAAGGCGGACCCTCCACCACGCGCTTCGCCACGTCACGAGCGTGGTCAGCGTTACTTCAGTTGACCTCGGCTTTACCAAAGTTAGGCTTTGGCAGCGACGATTGTGTACCTCCGCGGCAATACAGTTTTCTTTGCGATTTCTGCGCATTGCAACCAACGGTTTCACAGAAAGGTAATACCTGTGAACTGCCACATCACTATATTTTGTCTCCAAAGATATCACATGCGACCAAGAAATCAGCCATGAATAGTTGATCTCGGATAAATGTACGCCACCATTAATAATAACGTTGGTATTATTTTTTAATGTATTTTTCACCTACACCTGCCCTACATTTTGGCAGCCAAAATGCAGGAAAGTTTAAATTTCATCTAGAATCCTGTGGTCATTACGTCTTAAAATGTTGGGCTATATTCTTTTACAATTTCCGGGGAATTAACCGATTTAGGTTTAAATGCATCTCTCAGACCGCATGGGAGAGGTGCATCGTTGTGCGCAGCATAAAATTACTGTCTGATAATGCGTAATCGTACGCATCTTGGGTGAAACTTGTTTTGTAGGCTGGTCTGTTATTATTTTGTAGTTCTTACGGAAAGCTGGCCCATATGAAAACAAAAAGTCCAAAAAAATATGGCATACGTTTATTTCATGGGCATTTACGCACGCTTTAGACGCTATCTACACCTCAATATATGATACAAAAATGGTAAAAGACAAGACATAGAAAACAAGAGGAGTGGAAGCACCACATTCACAAGGTAGAAAGGCCTGTGTCTGAACTCGCTTGTGTCAAATTGTGAGATAGACCAGCCTTACAGGGTCAAACTCCAGATCGGCATCTGAAGTACCTCCTGGCCTCCTCATGCAACGGTCGTAACACTAGACACCTGTTTTAAGCAAAATTTGACTATTGCTGAAGGAAATCTTCTGCCGGAGCGGCTGCGCCACACCGGTGGGGGAAACTGGTTGATATGGGCCATTTTATGTCAGTGACCTCCTATGACGTGCAAGAAGTCCAGATAATATGTCTGTTGACATCCATGTCACCAAGGACTTCGAAAAGGAGCTTCAAAAACTACCCCTTACAGCACGTTCTGCAGTGAAGGGGCACTTTGGTTTTGACCTTGTTCCGACCTTCATACGGACTCGAGGTTAATGAGATTATACGTAATTTTAACCTCAACTGACTAGTTGTCTAAAAAAGCTACTCCAGAGATTTATGGCTTACCTTCAGAGGTGGATCCAGGGGGCACGGGGTCATGGCCCCCTTTGGGCCCAACAGGGGCCCATCGGCTCAGAAAGGCCCCATAGCCAGGCGAACAGACGCAGTTTTTACACAGAACGCAATAATATTGGACGTCTTCGGGCTTCCTGGCGATCTGTAACAGTTGCCGGCGAAAGTGAAGGGCCCAAGAGCAGACAAAAAATTACTCTTCACTGATTGAGAAGGTGGTGATTGAAAGGTCTTAAGACCGCTTACGCTGTCCAGAGGCCCTACGCTGTTTTTAGGGCCCCTATATGTCCAGTTGCGGGGTTAACCTGATCGTTAAAGAGCCTTCTACGCTGCCCTTGATTTCCTTGCATTTGCTCGAAGGGCGCTGCGCTGTTGCTGGGACCCTCCCTGCTCGCGTGCCAGGGCACTCTTGTCAGTCAGGGACTTTCCACGGATTTTTTCCATTTGCCCGAAACTTTCTATACGCTAGAGCCTGGGGCCCCACGTATCGACACGCCGGGGCATTCTTGTTTGACCAGGGGCCCCTCACGTTGGTCACGGTTAACATGTCGGCACACTCACGATGTGCTCATGGGCCCTCTATATCGGTTTAGAACCCTTTCAATTCTCTGTCACTCGCTTGAGGCCCTACGCTCTTGTCTCGGGCCCATCTGTTAACCTACTTGGGCTCACTCGGTCGTTCGGGGCCGTCCAAATTCGGTATTGGGTATGTTTTATTAAAATGAAGTCCTATGCGCTTGTCGGGGGTCATCTATTCACCTCCTCGGGCACACTAGATTGTTCGAGGGCCTCGCACATTGGGTCTTGGAATTTGAATGTAAGGCCCTACGCCCCCGTCAGGGACCATCTGATAGCCTGCACAGGTATACTCGATTTTTTCGGGACCTCCACACTGAGTCTTTGGTACTTCTTATTTGAATGGGGGGCTCTACGGTCTTGTCGGAGCTCCTCTTGCACACTTGGTCGTTCGGGGGTCATTTACATTGGGTCTCGAGAACCTCCTATTCCAAGAGAGAGTCCCATGCCCTTGTCGGGGGCCCTATCTGTCAACCTGCTTGGGTGCATTGGATTGTGTGGGGTCCTCTTCATTGTGTCGTGGGTATTTATTATGTGAATGGCGTGGCATGCGCTCTTGCCAAGGGCTCCCATCTGTTAACGTGCTCGTGCACACTCGATCATTTCTGGGCCCTCCATAGTGTCTTGGGTACTTTTTATTTGAATGGATGGCCCTATGTATTTGTTGGGGCACCGTCTAGGCAGGACCAACTTGGCAAAAAGGCAGGACCAAATTGGCAAAAAGACAGGACCAAATTGCCTATGGCGGATCCGGAAGAGGGGGGGGGGGGGGGGGAATCGAATTGTGCTTGCCTCTTGCCTCTGAGCGACCCATAGGCTCCGAAGGAGCCCATAACCAGGCGAACGGACGCAGCTTTCAAACACAAAACACAACAAAGTTGAACGTTTTTGGGTCTGCGCACGACCAAGGACAGTAACAAGCGAACGTGAAGCCGTGAGCAGACAGACTTATTGCGCTGTCCAGAAGCGTAGCACTGTTGCCGGTGCCCTATACACCTATTTGCCGGATCAATCCGATCGCTAGGGAGCCTTCCATGTTGCCTTTGATCTCTGCATTTTCTCGTAGAGCCCTGTGCTGCCGTTGGCGCACCTTTTGCTCACATGCCTGGACACTCTTGATCGATCAGGGGCCCTCCACCCATTCTTCACATTTGCCCCAAGGGCTCCATACGCTTTTGTTGGGACCCGATATGCTGAGGTACACTCAGTTACTCAGGGGCCCTTCATACTGGTCTCGGGTTCTTTCCACTTGCTCGAAGGGCCTCGTGCTGTTGTTGGGCCAATATAAGGTAATGCATCGAATGACACTGAACCATTCGATGCTCAGGGGCCGTCTACATTGATCTCGGGCTCTTTCCC